GCTGCAGCGTATTGCGCTGGCGCTCCAAAGCGCACCAGCGCTTGGACGCTGTCAAAGGCCTTTGCCCAATCCAGCGCGAGCAAGATCAAACGCCCGTTTTCTGTTTCCAAGGCATTCTCGACCAGCTGCCTGGCCACGAACAACGCGTCCGCCGTCCCGCGGCCGGAGCGGAAGCCAAACTGAGTGTCCAAGGTACCGTAATCTGCGCCCGCCTGCTTCACACGAGAAAGCAGAATTGCAGCATACAGTTTATATCCAATGGGTAAGAGCGATATCCGCCGATAGTTGGTGGAGTCCGCCGCGTCGCCTTTCTTAAATCTGGTTTTTGTCGCTGCTTCATGCCAAGCTTTGGGCACGGACTCGTCTGCCCAGCACCTGTTGTACAAGAGCACCGCGCACTTGCAGGCCGGCGTGTTCCGCTTGTGCACGGCGGCCTTCAGAATTTCAGCCAGGGTGCCGTCTTTATTTGGTTCTCTATTGAGCTTGAGGGCCTGTCCTGCCGAACACACTTCCTCTTCTGTGATGATCCAAAGGCCAATTGGAAACGCCAGGCTCAAGTAGTCAGGCTCATCGACCGATGCGGCTGCGCGCACAGCGCATTGCACGTTGGCGAAGTACTCCACCGACGCATCGGCGCCCTGGTTGCTGTGCACAATTCGCCCACTTGCGTGCCTCATCCGGCCTTGGGGGCTAGACGTGTTTTTTTCTCAACCTCCGCACTTCGTCGCAGTCGCCATGCTCAAGGCGATCGTCCAACCAGCGACTCTTGTCTCTCTTGGCCGAGGCTTGATCTGTCCATGTGAATGTTTCTTTGCAGGGTGGTCTCCCTTCGTCCGGGTTTCTCTCAAAGAGCCCCGGGCGTCCCGAAACTTGCTCATCATGGCTTCCACGACCACACAGGGCCGACCCTTGACAGCCCTAGACCCGCCCAGACAGCCCCCCCACATCCTTCAAGACGGCCCTACGAGGCCCCAAGGAATCCCAAGATTAGCCAGTAGGCTCCAGGAGGGCCTCTAGCGCAAGCGCCCCCCCCAAAATCCAGGATGACCCCAAGAGGGCCCCTAAAACAAAACAACCTGGCGACCTCGCGCCCTCTCAAGGGAAAGGCGCTCTCCGTACCGGTGCTGGCCAGGCCTATCACGCCCTTGGCCTGATGGGCTGGCGAGTTCAGTCGTGTAGAATTTGTATTGGCAGTCACACGTTTATGCCACTTTTTGAGGGGTCATCTCCGACGCTTCGGGTTTGAACTGCGTTGTGAGTTGTCAAACTTTTCGAACATCATGTGATGTGCATTTGCAACGTGTAGACACACGACGCGATATTGTGTGACCACGTAGCCGCAGCTTCCTTTCCAACGGGTTCCTCTATCGACTCGCGCGTCTTCAGGCCAGAGTTGCGTTTCGTGCCCAGGCGCTTTGCATCATGTGCTTCGCTCTCTGACATAATGGGGCCCTGCATCATGGCACGAGCCGTCCTGCTGCTGAGCACGGCGCCGAAAGACTGATGGCAGTGAGGATTTGGGACAAAGTGAGTGTGTGTGAATGGGGGACGAAGAGACGGCGGGGGCACGTGGGCAGTTGCGCAGGGGATGGAAGTCAAGGAGCCGCCGCCGGTCCCTCCGCCGCCAGTGACCTTGCTGGTGGCCGTGTTAGACGCGAATTTCCAGGAGGCCCCCAGGCACCGCACCGACCCCGCCGCAGCCCGAAGCGCTCCACTCGCCACCTCTTCCTCTTCCTCTTGCTCCTCTCGATCCTCTCACTTCGCATCCTCCTCCCGCTCCCCCTGCGCCCCCTCTCTCTCTCTCCGCTCCTCTCTCCTCCTGCTCCCCTCCACCCCCCCTGGGCCTCTGCCTCCTCCGCTTCCCTCCCTCCCTCCCTCCTCCCCCCGTCCCCCCATGGTCTCCGCTTTATTTTTTCCCCCAATGCTCTTGTTGTCCCTCGGGGGCTCCGGGATGGGTTTCCGAACGCTTGATTTCTTTCCCTCGGGGCTCGTTCTTCTCCCCTTGGGCGCTCTCGTTGTTTTCCCTCGGGCACTCGTTTTTGTTTTCCCTTGGGCGCTCTCGTTTTGTCCTTCTTTTCCCCTCGGGGGGCTGGTCTGGTCGAGAATTCCTCGCTTTCTTCCCCGCCGGTGCTTGCTTTTTTCCTTTTTTTTTTCTGTTCCCCCTCGGGGGGGGCAGGGGGGGAGGTGTCGCGTGCGCCAGCGCGCGCGCGCGTCAGGCAGGACGCTCGAGGTTCTCACTCCTGGGTCTGGTGCTGAAATTTGCACATGCAGCCAAAGCGCTGAGAGAAGTACCACTGGGTTCAGGAGGGCCTCTGGTTTCCGGGCCGTTCTCATAGCCGAGTCGGTGAACCAATTCGTGGCCGAGACTCGTCGTAGACAGGAAAGGCCTCTCGTTCCAACTACAGCGCTCAGCGCGATGACTGCATCCATCGCCGGGGAATCCGATCTTCCTGGGCCTCGGGAGGCGCTGGATAGAGCCCGTTTCTCTATTGCTTGGGGCATTACGGGCGTCATGGCCCCCGTTCCCCCCCACCCCCCCTATGACGTAACGCTCCCCCCCCCCCCAGTGCGCTCCGGGCACTGCCGCCGTGCGCACTGGGATCCGCGTAGGAATCCGCGTAGGAGTCTGGTCCGCAGTCGTCATCGTCGTCGTCGTCGTCGTCGTCATCGCTCATCGTCGTCGTTCGTGGCTCGTCGCTCGTCACATCGTCGTCGTGCGCGCGGACGCGGTTGGAGCCTGTTTATTATTTCGGGCCGATGACGGCAATCATCTGGGGGGGGGATCGATGACGTCACGGTTCGCGCCAGCGGCGTCTGGGAATGTTTAGGACTGACGAAGGACGGGTAGCGCCAGCATGTAGGTGGCGATCTGCACCACAACGCCTGTGTACACCACTATGCCTGCGTGCGCCACAGCGCCTGTGTACACCACACCGCCCACGTGCACCACAGCAGCCGCGTGCAACACAGCGTCAGTTTGTGCAACCGTGCGCGCGGGCACAATAGCTCTTGTGTGCACCACAGCGGCTGCGTACACCACATCAACCGTGCGCAACACAGCACCAGTGTACACCACAATGCCTGCGTGCATTGCAGTGCCTGTGTAAACCACGGCGCCTGTGTTCACCACAGTAACCGTTCGCAACACAGCGCCACTGTTGTATGTAGAATGTTAGAAGGAATCCTTATGACAAAATGGAGCGCTTGTGGATTCCACAGAAAGCAATCGAAAGGAATCCTTGTGGACAAAGGAGCGCCGCTGGAATCTACGAGTACTCCCGAGTCCGCCCGCATCACCCTAACTCCTTCCATTTGCGTCCAGGAGGCTCCACCTAGATTGGTCGTCCGAGAACCAAGTGGACCGATTCAATTGGCCATTCGGCGGTGCACGCTGAGCTGCGCACGTGCGCTGTAGCGCCAACCCGCACGACAGTGGGTAAGGAGGAGGAAGAGGAGGAGGAGGAACAGGAGGAGGAGGAGGAGGAGGAGATGGAAGTGGAAGAGGGAGGAGGGAAAAACGTCGCATTCGATCATCAACACTTTCCTGGCGTGGCGTGTAGTTGTCCGCAGCAGATCCTCACGTACGTGCTCCTTCTACCTCTCCTATGCACGCAGGCACTGTGGTGTACACCAGCGTTGCGTTGCGCGCGGGTGCTGTGGTGTACACAGGCGCTGTGGCGTGCACAGGCGCTGCGGTGCACGCAAGCACTGTGGTGTACACAGGCGTTGTGTTGCACGTGGTTGCTGCGGTGTACACATGTGCAACGGCGCTGTAGTGTACGCAAGCACACCCTGGTGTACCCAGGCGCTGCGTTGCACACGGTTGTTGCGGTGTGCGCAGGCGTTGTGGTGTACGCGCGCGTTGTGGTGCACGCGAGCGTTGTGGTGTACACAGACGCAGTGGGGCAGATCGCCACCTACATGCTGCTCGCGTCGTCGTCGTCGTCGCTCGTCGCTCGTCGTTCGTCGCGTCGTGCGCGCGGGCGCGGTTGTGGTGCCGGAGCCACACGGCGGGGGGGGGGCGTTACGTCATACCCCCCCTCAGCCCCGCCCACCATGACGCCAGTCATCGCCGAACATAAGGAAACGCGTTCGTATGGATCTACTTGGGCCGCAGGGCGCCCCGACTAGGTCCACGTCCACCACCCCCTGGGGCCCCAGGACATCGGTTCCCAAGCGGTGGACGTGGACGGGTCCCAGCATCGCGCCGGAGGCCTGGCCGTCGTGTCGGGGCATCGGCGCACCCTCGGCTCGTTACGCCCTCTCGCCGCCGCACTTGAGGGGGCCACTCGTCCCCTCCGCCCTCCTCCGCCTCCTCGACCGCAGGCGCTCCTCCCTTCCTCGCCCCTCCCTCATTCCACTCCTCCCTCCTCCCCGCCCCTCCGCCTCCTCTGCCACGATCTCCTCGTCCTTCTCCTCCTCGTCCGGCTCCTCCTCCCGCTCGGCTTTGCTCTCCGCCCAGGGCAGAGGGAAAAAGAGCTGGTGGAGACGAGTGAGGGACCTGGGAAGGGAAATGGGCAGGGCAGGGAGAGTGGCAGGAATACACGCCAGTCCTTGCACGTAGGTATTTCTGGATTCCCAGATCCCAATCTCTTTTAGACGCCTTCTTCCTTCAAGGATCGAGTGGTTTTCCCTCTTCCCTCCTCTTCGGGGGGCGGGCAGAAACCCAGTCTACTTTCAACGCCTTCCTGCTTCATGGTTCTACCTCTTCTTTCGACCGACGGGTAGGCGTTTTCGAATGTTTTCGTAGGTGCCGGGGGTGCCCGTATCGTCCCAAGCGGCCGCCAGAGACCCGAGTCATGACCCGAAAACCAAACTTGGCCGCGCGCCTGGGGGGGAAGTGAGAGGGGACACGCCTTCTCGGAAGGCGGCGGAGCTTCGGAGAAAGCCTGGGAAGTTTCTCGGACGGCCCGACGCCATCTGAGCCTTCCGAGAAGGCCCGCCGCTTCTGCCTTCCCCTCTGGGTGCGCTGCCGAAAACGGGTGAGGTGATTTGAGAAGGGGGGGGGCGTGGGGGGGAGACAGAAGGGAGAGGGAAGGAAGGCAGATGGGATGGGGGAAGGACGATAGGAGTCCGGGAGGGGGAAGGGAGGCGGAGGGGAGGGGGAAGGACGACATCTTCTCACCATCTCTCCGCCGTTCTCGACCCCGCAGGCTGATCGCTGCTTCGGGCTCTCTGTACAAGTGGATGGACAGCCGGCACGTGCTTGTGGTGCTGAGGCCCGTCCTCCAGAAGCTTTCCTTCTGTCCGTCCCGCCGCTGTCCCGTTCCTCCGCCCTGCACTTATCATTATTGTTGCTCCTCCTCGATCTCTCCCTCCCTCCTTCCCGCCCCCTCCCTCTTCCATTCATCATCAACGGGGAAACGTCACGAATGACACCTTTGAGTAATTAGCACGATCTGCTATGCAATCTAGTTGGAGCAACCTAGTTGCGCAACCGACGATATGCAATACATGCTGTGCACTATGTTGTGCAGTCTATTTGGAGCAACCCATGTGGTGCAATATATGTTGTGCAGATAAGTGGAGAAATCTATGTGGTGCAATAGTTGTGGTGCAAGCTATGTTATGTAATCTATGATGAGCAGTATATGCTGTGCAGCCTATGTGGTGCAATCCAGTTTGTACAATGTGTTGCAATCTAGGTTGTGCTGTCTATGTGGAGCACACAACGCACATGTATACATCTATGTATGTATGCATGTATGTATGTATGTGTATATATATATGTATATATATATACATATATCGGCGCACCGGGTCCGGGGGCCCGGGGCCGGGACCTCGACCACAAATGTGCGCCCCGGGGGGCCCGGAGGCTCGTCGGGGCTTGCCGGAGGCCTCCCCAGTCAGACAAGACGCCCCAAGAAGCGCCCAAGACGGCCCAAGAAACTTCCAAGATGCCTCCAAGAGGGCTCCGAGATGCTGAAGATGGCCTCCAGACGTCCAAGGACGCCCCCAAGAGGCCCCAAGAAGCCTCCAACATGCGTCCCAAGAGGGCCCCTAGACGCAAAAATTGGCCCATTCCCTTCGTAAAACGTACATGTTCAACAAAGTTGTCTTTTGGGCTTTCCGACGTTACAGGACGGCCCAAGAGGCGCCCAAGACCGCCCCAAGACGGCCCAAGAAGCTTCCCAGAGGGCCCCAGGACAGCCCAAGAGGGCCCCAAGACGGCCCAAGAGGCGCCCAAGATGGCCCAAGAGGGCCCCAAGACGGGCCCAAGAGGGGGCCCAGAGGGGGACCACGAACCGCAAGCTCGAGCCTTCCGCCCCAAGAGGCCGCCAGGAGGCCCCCAGGAGGCCCCTCAAGAGGCCCCGGGAGACCCCAGACGTCCAAGGACGCCCCCAAGAGGCTCCAAGAAGCCTCCAACATGCGTCCCAAGAGGGCCCCTAGACGCAAGAATTGGCCCATTCCCTTCGTAAAACGTACATTTTTCAACAAAGTCGCCTTTTGGGCTTTCCGACGTTACAGGACGGCCCAAGAGGCGCCCAAGACCGCCCCAAGACGGCCCAAGAAGCTTCCAAGAGGGCCCCAGGACAGCCCAAGAGGGCCCCAAGACGGCCCAAGAGGCGCCCAAGATGGCCCAAGAGGGCCCCAAGACGGGCCCAAGAGGGGGCCCAGAGGGGGACCACGAACCGCAAGCTCGAGCCTTCCGCCCCAAGAGGCCGCCAGGAGGCCCCCAGGAGGCCCCTCAAGAGGCCCCAGGAGACCCCAGACGTCCAAGGACGCCCCCAAGAGGCCCCAAGAAGCCTCCAACATGCGTCCCAAGAGGGCCCCTAGACGCAAAAATTGGCCCATTCCCTTCGTAAAACGTACATTTTCAACAAAGTTGTCTTTTGGGCTTTCCGACGTTACAGGACGGCCCAAGAGGCGCCCAAGACCGCCCCAAGACGGCCCAAGAAGCTTCCAAGAGGGCCCCAGGACAGCCCAAGAGGGCCCCAAGACGGCCCAAGAGGCGCCCAAGATGGCCCAAGAGGGCCCCAAGACGGGCCCAAGAGGGGGCCCAGAGGGGGACCACGAACCGCAAGCTCGAGCCTTCCGCCCCAAGAGGCCGCCAGGAGGCCCCCAGGAGGCCCCTCAAGAGGCCCCAGGAGACCCCCAAGAGGCCCAAAGGAGGCCCCGAGAAGCCCCAAATCGGCCCCCAAAATGCTCCGAACCTGCTTCCAGGAGGCCCCCGACAGGTTCAGAGGCTCCCGAGAAGCTACGTCAAACTCCCAGCGAGCGGCCGGACGAGGCCCCCCAAAAAATCCCAAGAGGGTTCCAGTATTTGTATCCTTCAGCGCTCTCTGGCCTTCTTCCCCCTGCCCCCTTCCCTGCGACTTTCGTTGACTCAAGCTCGCCTCCTCTCCATTTCCTCTCTCTGCCTCTCTCTCTCTCTGTTTTTTTTTTTTTGTTTCTCTCTCTCTCTCTCTCCATCTCTCTCTCTTTCTCTCTCTCTCTCTCCTTCGCTCTCTGTCTGTCTGTCTCTCTCTCTCCCCCTCTCTTTCTCTCTTTCTCTCTCTTCCTTTCACATTCTGTGTCCTTGCGACCTTCTGCAGTCCCCGACGTCGCCACGGCTGGATCCGCTCGAGCGTGTCTTGTGATATGCGGCGGTGCAAAGCCCGTCCCACTGATCAAGGCACAGGTACGAAATGATGGGTCCATCATTTCTTGCCTTCCCATGTGCGTTTTCCCAATCGATTCCTGGGCCCGAGGTCGCAAAAATTACGACGTCGGAGGTCTGGGGAGGCGGGAAGCACGACCTGGACCTCCGACGTCTTGGACAAATCACGACGGCCTCGCAGGTTCCCGGGACCGTCAGAAAACGACTCAGGATGAAAACGACTTGGGCTACAGGGCTATTGGGCTACAGGGCTATAGGGCTGTAGGGCTATAGGGCTATAGGGCTAGGGCCATAGGGTTATAGGGCTATGTGGGCTATTCGGCTATTGGGCTATAGGGTTGTTGGGCTGTAGAGCCATGGGGCTATAGGGCTACAGGGCTATAGGATCAGAGGGCTATAGAGCTAAAGGGCTAGATTGATACAGGGATATAGGGCTATTGGGCTATAGTCCTATAGGGCTATAAGGCTATAGGGCAATAGGGCTACAGGGCTATAGGGCGATAGGGCACCCCCAGGCACCCCGGCACCCGGGCACCGGGCACCCAGGCACCCAGGCACCGGGCACCCGGGCACCCGGGCACCCGGGCACCCGGCCCGGCCGCATGGGGCCGGAATCTTGCCGAACCTCATCGAACCTTTGAATCCGCCAGGACCCTTACAGAGGCAAGCTCTGATTGGGTACTAACCCATGGCAACCGCTGCTACCTTCATCGCCGCGATCGCCGCCGTCTTCATCGCCGCCGTCGTCGACGTCCTCGGGTTCTGTTCGGGCACCCTCTGGCCATCTCGTGGGGCACGCTGGGGGATTATCAGAGGCATCCGTACGTATCCTGAGGGGCCCCGCGACTTCCCCAGAGACTCTAACTACAGAAACTCCTTTCGTATTCCGGCCAGAAGCATCCAGAAACGATGTACATTAGCCCTGGCGAGGGGAATGATGGCGATGGTGATGTTCATGATGACGACGGTGACGATCCTAGCTAGAACCTAAGCGCGCGCGAAGCGCGCGCGTGGTTCTAGTATACATAGATATGCGCACCCGCCCCCAGCACCCATTCATCCTGCTTCGGTCTTGAAGCTAATCATTCGTATTCTTACTAATCATCTACCTTCTTTTCATCCGTGCCTGCTCATCCATCTTTCCTATGCGTCATGTCTCCGCTGTGTTATCTTGGTTCTACTTGGCAACAGTTGGATCTGAGATCTGCGCAATTCTACTTAGATTATAATTCGATTTCAATCGGAATCAATTGGAATCAGCTGGACGTTGGATCCGTCCCACCCCAATCCGATTCTAATTAAATCCAAATATGAATCTCTTTGGAATCAGCTGGATCTGGGATCTGCTCAATTCCAGCTAGATTAATTGCATTTCAATCGGAATCCAATTTGAATCAGCTGGATCTGAAATCTGCCGAATTCGAATTCGATTTTAACTCGATTCCAATGGGAATGCAATCGGTAGCAGCTGTATCTGGGATCTGCTTCGTTCCAATTCGATTCTAATCCGATGCCAATAGGAATTCAGTGTAATCTGCTGGATCTGGGATCTTCTCCATTCCGCTCAGATTCTAAAACGATTGCAATAGGAATTGATTTGGAATCAGCTGGATCTGTGATCTGCTTCCTCCTAGTAGATTCTAATGAAATCCCAATCGGAGTCCCAATTTGACTCCGTGGCCCCATAGGGAGCCCCACCGAGGACGACTCTCACATCTGCGTTACTCACAGATGCGTATGGTTGGGCCGTTCGCCGGGATATTTTTGATCGGGGTTGCGGACGGATGACCGAACGGACAGGGAACATTCCAATTCCTGCCCCAGGGCACGACGGGTGGTAGAGCACCATGATGGGAGGGAAGCTCCTAATGGTCCAACATGCTCCCGTCACCTCCCTGAAGCCTCCAAGACGTTCCCAAGAGGCTCTCAGAGGCTCCGGAGAGACCTTGCAAACGTCCCCTGGATCTTCAAGAAAGAGGCCCCATGCTTCCAAAAGCCTCCCAGGAGGCCTCCCAATAGGCGCCCAGAAGCGTACGGGAGGTCTCGCGTCCACGGGCAGAAGCTGTGGCTTCTTGAGGGGCAGGATCTGTGCGATCATATATCCTCCGATGCCGAGCACTTCAGACGACAACTAGAGTATGCTAGAACCTCAGTGCTCGCGAAGCGCGCGCGCATGTTTCACTATGTATATGTGCACATATAGGCATCCCGCTCTGTCCTTCTCTCTTTCTTTCTCTCTCTCTCTCTCCCTCTTTCTCTCTCCCTCTCTCTGTTTTTGTCTCTCGTCCTCTCCTCGCAATCATTATCGCGCTCGTTTCGGTGTGCTGGTTTCGGGGCCACAAGGAGCAGGACGCTGACCAACAGCAGCAGAGGAACACCAGAGGGAGGAGGAGGAGGAGGAGGAGCAGGAGGAGGAGGAGGAGGAGGAGGAGGAGGAGGAGGAGGAACACCAGTAGGAGCAGCAGCAGCAGTGCGAGGAGGAGTCTCCACACCCCGACCCTCCCCCACCGCAGGGCGTCTGGAGGCGCCGCCGTCCGGAAAGCCGCCGAGCTGGCCGCCCAGGCCAGGCTCCGCAACCCCCGCCGGGCGCCGCGGTAAAATGGGAGCGGGCGGAGGGAAAGGAGGCGGAGGGAAAGGAGGCGGAGGAGGAGGAGGAGGAGGAGGAGGAGGAGGCGGAAGAGGAGGAGGAGGAGGAGAAAGAGAGTTGGACCCAGAGATCCGAGGATCTGTTTTTTCGGGCCTGGGTCATCTCTAAAATGGACCCGGGACGAACAACCATACCCAGGGAAGGGATCGGTACCTCTGAGGCCACGGATTGAACACATCATATCGGTGGATGTCTGTGGAGGAGGAGGAGAAGGAGGAGGAGCAGGAGCAGGAGCAGGAGGAGGTCGACGGGGTGGACAAGGGCGGAAAGATGATGGAGGAGGGGGGAAGGGAGGGGGAGGAGGAGGAGGAGGAGGATGGGGAGGGCCGCCTTCTCGACGTCATGTCCTCCCAGCTGGTCTTCAGATGATTGTCGCGTAGATTGGTAAACCTTGTGTTTGAGGGATTCCGCCATCCGCAGGCGCATGGTGGCCTGGAACTGTTGCGCGATGGCACATGCACCGAATTGTGGACCGCCCTGGGAACGCGACGACAGACGTCCAGGTCTCTTGGCAGGAGACTGTCGTCTCGGCCAGTCCGAGCACGGGCCTGAATGCTACAGGTCGTGTCATCTCTACAGCGTGGCGGAGGGGCGCGGGCGTCCGAGTTTTCTGCAGCAGCGTGGGGTCCACAGTTCGAATTGATGACAGACAGAAGTACCGGGCGTGGGCAGGAGGCGACTGCATTTGCCAGGAAAGGCATTCACATGTCAGGTATCATGTAGCCTTTCTCACCTGACGTCACTGCGCTTGAGTGCACGGCGTTCGGGCGATCATAGAGCACACGTGCTAGCGGCAGTCGACACTGAAGCGACTATTACATGCTGCATCAAATTGTGGCTGAAGAAGAGGTGATGATGAGGGGGATGCAGAAGATGGAGGAGCAGGTGGAGGAGGAGGAAGGATTTGCCCATGTAAAGCTTACAGCTCCTAGCGGCTTATAGATTTCCCACCCGCTTGAGCGCCAGCCAGCCACAATCATATGCTGGTACGCTTACGGTAAGCATCTAGGAGGGTTGGGTTTTTGGTGATTCGTTTTTTTCCAGTGAACATAGTCAGTTTCTGTTTTGCACCAAGTCATTGCTAGGACGCGCCGCGCGATTGCCAGCGCCGCGACAACAAGTTCGCACGGAGGCACAAGATCGTCGAATTCAGTGGCGCCGAAAGGACCGTTGCATTGTTGCACGGCGGCTTGTGTGGCGTTCTGGGTTTGCCTGGCATCTTGCTGGTTCGCGCAGCATGGTTATAGATAGCCGAGGCGTCGAGTTTAGTCTAGTTTCCCAAATGTGCAGGACACTCCAAAGCGAGTCTATACCTCAAGCAACCGTCAGCTCGGGGTTCGTTGGGCCTATCACTAAAAAAAGGCGCCGAGCGAAATGTGGACCTGAGGGATGCCTCACGCCGCCCTCGGCCTGTGGTGCACAGGGAGGCGGAGCGTCCTACAATTGCGCGGAGGTGGCCGCCCCGAGATCGCCGTTGCCCGAACGGGGTCTAGTCCCCGCAGGAGAAAAAGAGGAGCCGGAGGACGAGGAGGAGCAGGAGGACGAGGATGAGGACGAGAAGGGCGGGCAGGAGAAGGAGGGAGAGGAGCAGGAGGAGGAGAGTAGGAGGACTACGACGACGAGGAGGACCGCCAGGAGGAGGAGGAGGAGGAGGAGGACGAGGAGGAGGAGGAGGAGGACGGGCATGAGGATGACGGTGGCGCGCCTAGGGGTACGGCAGAGGTGGCGGGCCTCTCTGAAGGCTTAGAAGGCCTCCGGCCTTCTGAGAGACTCGTTGAGCCTTCCCCGAAGCCACAGAGAGCCTCTCAGAAGGTCGGCGGGCTTCTGAGAAGCCCCGCCGCCTTCTGAGAAGGCCTGCTCCCTCTTACTTCCCCCCTCGGCGCGCCGCCGAGGAGGAGCACAGGCAGGAGGAAGCATAACCCAAAAGCGAGTCGTCAACGATGATCCGAGAGTGCCCGAGCGCTGACCCAAGCCGCCGAAACCGAATCGGGGCGGTCGAGCGAGAAAGCCAGCAGGCCTGGCCCGAGTGGGCTGCCTGCCTGGCGCTACGCTGCGGGGACTCGCCCTGCACCTCCTGCGTTGGAGGAGGAGGAGGAGGAGGAGGAGGAGGAGGAGGAGGAGGAGGAGGAGGAGGCGCGGACGGGTAGGGGCGCATTTCTGGCCGTGCCCCCAGGTCCACGGCGTGGTCTCGTGGATGGGCTTCGACGAGTGGCGGGCCGCCCAGGCCGTGCCGCCCACGCGTCCCACGGGGAGGAGAGAAGGGCCAGAGCAGAACAGCAGCGCACATCACGGATGCCGCAATACGCGCCGCTCCTCGGGCGATGGGAGGCCGCCTCAGGTCGAGGCTGTAGTAAGTCCCCGTCTGTCGTCTGTGCCTCGGCTCCGGACCGAGCGGCATGGGAGGCGTGGTGCCTGCCCTCCTTTTGCCTACGAGGTCAGTCAAGCGTGGTTCTGGCTGACCTTCATCGGCGCATGGATGAATGACTTTCTACCTTGGCGGTATGTGGCGCGGAAGCTTTCCGCCCTCCTCTTGTTCTTAATCGCATGAGTCAACACAACTACTTCCTTTTACTGCGACGACCATCCGCCAGGAAAGCACGGTGGGTATCCTCTATGCCTTGTCGTGCGTGTCGAAGGTCATTTGGATTCATCGACGTGGACAGCGTACCCTCTGAACATTTTGAGAACAGTGCGCGTGGCGCCAGTGCGAAAGTATAATCGTATACGACCGTGAGGAAATCACAGTTTTTTTTAGATTAGTGCTCCTCGGCCCATCCCGGCACAGAACCTGAGCAATGGGTCGGACGCATTTTTGAAGTCTTTTCGGGCATCCCACGAGCGGACGGTGGATGCCAGCCCGTCGGGGTTGCATTTGGTTCCTTCCTATGCCACCCCGTCTCTGCTCATGCCCCTCCCGCTCATCCTGCTGCTGATCCCCCTGCCTCCGCTACACCCTCTTTCCTCCCTCCTCCCTTCTCCCCCCTCTCGCCCCCCCTACGGCAGGCTCGTGTCCTGCCGACGCGGCAGCGACCCTGCCGCTGGCGTTCAAGGCTGAGTGCCGCCAGCGGCCCAGAACCTTCCAAGGTGGAATGATCTGGCGATCGAAGAGCCGCTGATCGTTCGAGGTTGAACCACGCGGTGTCAGAAGCCAAGCCGACGTCTTCACGACACGAACCTGCCGCATTCCACCAGATGGCACAAGACATGTGCCCCTAATTGGGCTGGCCAGGCCGATGCTGGGCCCAGGACCGGGGCATGTCGTGCATACCTTCCTACCCAAGCCAGGGATCGGCGGCGAGCGAGGGGCGGAAAAGAGTGGGAGCAGGCCTTCTCATAAGGCGGCGGGGTTTCTCAGAAGCCCTCCGGCCTGCTGAGAAGTGTTTTGCGTCCTCGGGGAAGGTTTAGATAGGGCAGCAAACCATGACATAAACAGAACAACTCGGAGGTCCGCGCGGATTCTCGGATCGGCGCTCGATCCCCCTCCCTGGTGTTGAAAAACGCGGCCCCCAGGCCCAGACTCGCCCCCTGCTCTGTTTATTTCTCTCTCTCTCTCTCTCTATTCCCTCTCGTTCGCTCGACCGACGCCCTTTGGCTCGTAGCCGGCTTGAGACGATTTAGTTGCTGGAGCGAGTGACCGAGGAAAGCCTTCCTGCCCCCTAGCGCTGCCGCGCGCTCGCCGCCATACCCCGCCGCGGGACTGGAGGGGGGGGGGACGTTGCTGATCCCCTCGGTTCCGCAGCGCGCCAGGCAACAGAGAGAAAGGGGACGAGCGTGCTGCACACAATTTCATGGAGACGGCAGCGGACGCTGGACGATTGCAACGAGACAGACGTGATCACGATCAAATACGACAACTGGAATGATGGAATATGCATCGGCTCCAGGGCGACATCCGGCGATGGGCGGAGGAGTTCTCAGCCGGATGCGCTGTCTCCACGGCATAGTGGAGGCGGCTCGGCGGGGCAGCGGCGCACTACGACGAGCTGGGTGCAAGCGCCGCAGTGGACGAGCCGCGACCTGGAGGGCATCCCGTCGTGGGACGGATCGCCAGGCAGGTGGCGGCGATACAAGAAGGACGTGGCGTTGTGGATGGAAGGGATAAGCCTAGATGTGAGTTGGTCATGGGCTGCCCACATGGTGAGGTCTTTGACGGGCCCGGCGAAGACGCTCGGTGAGTCTGTCCCGATGGTCGAGCTACGTGCGAAGCCCTGGACGTGGGTACAGTAAGGAGCTCCACGCCGACGCCGCGGAAGCGTCCCAGCAGGATGACGAGAACCCCGAGGAGGAGCGCGTGCGTTGGGAGGAGCCCGACATGATGGCAGGCATCAACCGGCTGATGGAGGTGCTTGCGACGATGGGTCTAGACGAGCCGACCAGACGAGGGCAGGTGATGAACTATTTGTATAAGCAGCTGCACAGACGGGCCCGAGAGGATTTGACTGCGTGGATGATCAGGTTTGGACAGGATCGTAGCGTATTTGATGAAGAAGATGTGGCCCTGCCGCCGAGAACGGCAGGCTGGCGGCTCATCGAGAAGACTGGCCTGACGGACGCGCAGCAGAGTATGTTGATGACCTCTACCCGTGGCAGTATGGAGGTACGCGAAGTGGCGCCAGCGTTGATGAGAGAGTTTCCCAATTTGCACATGACGGAGCGCCGACCGAACATGCTCGACCGCAGCCGGAAGCCGATCGCTTTCAACCGACCGGGGGCGCAGCTGCTGAACAACAAGGTGATGCGGAAGTTCAAGGAGGCGAACGTGGCAGAGGACTTGGACGGCATCAGCCAGCTCGACGAGGTTGAGCTGGAGGCTCTGAACGCGGAGCTCGGCAGCTTCGATGTAGACGCTGACGACGAGACTGCCGAGGAGGCCTCGACGACGGAGCAGGACTGCGACATCGATGGCGCCCTCGCCGCAGAGCTCGAGGCGCTCTCGACAGTGCTCGAGGAGGCCGAGAACGACCCCGAGCTTGCACGGGAGCTCGGGAACTCGGAGAGAGGCGTGGAATCGATGATGGAACGCCTCATCACGGTGCGTGAGAGCAGGGGGCGCGTGAAGGAGTTGCGGAAAGATCGCAAGTTCGGCGGCGAGGGCAGTGGCAGAGGCTCGGGCTTCGAGCTCGAGCAGCGGCAATATGTTCGCGTCGAGGTTCGGCGAGGGCAACAGGGGCCACGACGAGAATAACTCCGACTGCCACGTCTGCGGCGAGAAGGGTCGCTGGGCAGGCGGCCGCTGTCACCCAAAGCTCAAGGAGTGGGAGGCCGAGCAGGCCAAGAAGAAGTTGCAGCAGAGGACCAAGCCGCGAGATGCGACGGTGGTCGATCTGCTGGCGACCCAGGAGGCGCGCGACGCGCAGGAGGCGATGGCCCCGAGGAATGCGTTCGAGGCGCTCGTGACCAAGCGCGATTTCGGGTACTTGAGCGTGGATCCGTGGTGCAAGGACTGCAGATGCATGGGTGACGACCGCGACGTCCGCTGCGCCATGCGCGGCCGCGATTTCCTGGGGGTGGCCGATCCAGGCGACCAGAAGTTAGAGGAGGCAGGAACCCCGCAGACGGTCGAGGTGCTTGTGACGATGAGGTCGCTCGGCTGCGGGAGTGGTGCCCCGCGTTCTTCTGGCGGCGGAGGGTCGGCGGATGGGCCGATTCCTAGCCGCGGGAGTGGTGCTCCGCATTCTTTCGTCGACCACGGTGCAGGGTCGGCGAGTGCGCCAGGTCTCGGCCGCGGGCTGCGCCCCGATTTATCCGTCGTGACTCCGCTGCCACCGGATGGGCCGAGCGACGAGCGAGGGGTTCAAGAGGTCTTGCTGTCGCCTGCATCAATCGGTGGCCAAGGTGATGACGGAACGCTGGGCTCGACTTACAACATCACAGTGTCGGGGGGCGCCTATGCCAACAGGGTCGAGGACCGCTGCGAGGAGCTGGGCATCGATGAGCAGATAAAGAAGGAGCCCCAGCTTGCCGTGTTCCGGTTCGGGAACGGCCAGAAGCAGATATCCAAGGAGCGCTGGGCGGTGCCGGTGTCGGTCTTCGGGGTCGACGCCTGCCTGGCCTTCTCGGTCGTCGAGGACTCGGTGCTGCATCTGCTCATCGGCAAGGACGCGCTTGGGGGCATGGGCGCGGGCGTCAACTTCGCGGAGGATTTGTTCAAGTCGGACAAGCTCGTCATCGCGCCGAAGCGCTGGAACGAGATGGGCGGCGGGCGCTACTCAGTGCCGATCTTCCCGCGCGACAGTTAGAAGCCTCCGTCGGGGCCCCCGACTGCCGAGGGGGTGCTCAGGGTGAAGTCTAAGGTGCGAGAGGCGCTAATGACGGTGCGATCTGAGATGGCCGCTCGAGAGGACGGGCTGCTGAGGGGGGGGCCGTTCCAGATGAAAGAGACGAAGACTCCAATACACATTTTCTTTATTCTTTAATTCATTTGCTTTTGGGCTCCGGTACGTCCCCGGTCCAATTTCGGGCGGCCCGCTCGTGCCAGCTCGCACGGAGTGCTCGTCGTGCCGCTGCCGGAGCGCTCCGGCTCGATGCGGGCGACGGATCTGCGTGACCCTGACCCCGCCGATTTGCGTGAAGGGTGCCACCGAATTTTGAGGAATGCGGCAAATCCGCCGTTTCTATTGGACCCTGACCCCGCCGATCTGCGAGAGGGGTGCCACCGAATTTCAGACATGCGGCAAATCCCGTGTGTTTTTGGACCCTGACCCCGCCGATCTGCGTGAGGGGTGCCACCGAATTTTGAGGAATGCAACAAATCCGCCGTTTCTTTGGACCCTGACCCCGCCGATCTGCGAGAGGGGTGCCACCGAATTTCAGAAATGTGGGCGAATCCCGTGTGTTTTTGGACCTTGACCCCGCCGATCTGCGTGAGGGGTGCCACCGAATTTCAGACATGTGGCAAATCCCTTGCCGATCTGCGTGAGGGGTGTTAATTTTTACCCCCCAAGGAATTCAGAGAACCCTCCCGGGGGGTGCTAAAAAAGGGCAGTTTTCAGCTCCCCCCCTCGCGTGGACAGTAACAATTTACAGTAGGAAGCAGAAAGCAGTACTGTAACAATGGAAACTGGAAACTGGAACTGGTGCAGGGGGCAGCAAACTTAACCCTCGCAGCCTGATTGGCCCTGCAAGGGGGCCGGCGGGTCCAATCCATTTCTTCCAATCCAACCCATATTATCTTATCCAATCCATCTTATCCCACCCAATCCAACCCACCCAACCCAATCCATCAATTCATTTTTGTCGGCGCCTGGAGA